AGGTAGCTCCAGGTGATGTTGTTGAACTATCAGGGATTTTTCTTCCTATGCCTTATACAGGTTTCAGGGCAATGCGTGCTGGTTTGGTTGCTGATACATTCTTAGAGGCCATGTCTATCACTCATTTCAAGAAAAAATATGAGGAGTATGCCATTCTTCAATCACACCTTTTACTTAAATGGATTTCATCAATGATCTGCTTTTAATGACAATTTGTGTGCTTTACTCTCAGCTTTCTTCTTTTTGTGTTTCTGTGAAAACAAACTAACGAGCATTCTTTTTTAAGTGATCTATTGTATTAACTTGGTTGAGGATAAACCTTATTTGTTTAGTTGTTTTGTACTGCAGGTATGAACTTAGAGGAGATGAGGAGGAGCAAATTGCACGTTTGGCTGAAGATGGTGATATTTACGATAAACTGGCCCGATCATTGGCACCTGAAATTTTTGGGCATGAAGATATTAAAAAAGCTCTACTGCTTCTCCTTGTTGGTGCTCCTCATAGAAAGTTGAAAGATGGGATGAAGGTAAGAACAAAATAGTACATCCGAGAATGTTTGATGCATACAAAAATGTTTGCTAATTTCTGATGCTGAAATCAACCAATATGTCAAAATATTGGTCCTCTACTGATTTTCTTGAAAAGTTTAGTGTATTTTCCTTCCTTTTTTCTATTACTAGTCTTTTCCGTTGATATGACAGAAAAAATTTCCTCGAACGCTTCTTGGATGGAACTAAATGCACAATTCCATACTCATTGCAGATTAGAGGAGACTTGCATATATGTTTGATGGGTGATCCTGGAGTTGCAAAGAGTCAACTTCTTAAACACATCATTAATGTTGCTCCCAGGGGAGTCTACACAACTGGCAAGGGAAGCAGTGGTGTTGGTCTAACTGCTGCTGTTCAGAAGGATCCTGTAACGAATGAGATGGTTCTTGAAGGAGGGGCTTTGGTGAGGCACATACTCCATGTCTCAAATACAACCTTTGTACTTTGTTTTCCCTAGATTTTATCCTAATATGACAACTGAGTTTTTTAACGCAACCATTTACAACATCTAGTTTCAATGAGTGTGAAATTGGCTTTTACTCAGGTGTTAGCTGATATGGGTATATGTGCAATTGATGAATTTGACAAGATGGAAGAATCTGACCGTACAGCAATACATGAAGTCATGGAGCAACAGACTGTAAGTATTGCCAAGGCTGGGATCACGACGTCTCTGAATGCCAGGACTGCCATTCTTGCTGCAGCCAACCCAGCATGGTACTTGCTTACCTCTTGATTTTTGTAGGCCATTTTTCTGATTCTCTTGTTCTATTGGGTTGGCATTTCTCTACTCTCAACAACTTCTCTTTTGAGTTTCATGGACATACTAACTATGCTGAAATTTATCTCTTAAGGGGAAGATACGACCTCCGCAGAACTCCAGCTGAGAACATTAATCTTCCTCCAGCCCTATTATCAAGATTTGATCTTCTTTGGTTGATCCTAGATCGAGCTGATTTGGATAATGATCTTGAAATGGCTAGGCATGTTGTTTATGTCCATCAGAATAAAGAATCTCCTGCACTTGGCTTCACTCCACTTGAATCATCCGTTCTACGGTAAATGTTACCATTGCTTTCATACATCACAGAATAGGAAGTGTGATGATTTCAAATAAAATGATGGTTGCTTTAGATTATTTACGAAATCACACAATTAGAAGACTCATGCTTAAAATGTCATTATCGATGTTTCATCTTTTGATTTCTTATAAAATTCTGTAAAATCAATTTGTAAGCAATATATTTCCTTTTTGAGGATTCCCAAAGGTCTGTCAAATGTGTTATAGTTCTATTGTTGATATCAATGATTATGTAAGACTGCCATGATTCTCAAGTTTCCGCTAGAAATAGAGTCTTTGTAATAGGCAGCTATTGCCTCCATAGCTGTTCTTCTCAATCATCAAGTATCAGTTTATAGTAAACCTGAATATGAAATTCATGCATTATGACCTGAAAACATCTTCAATTCTCACTTTTTTCCATTTGTACTTTCTCCTTTTGGTGGCTGTGTCAGAGCTTATATTTCAGCTGCAAGAAGATTGGCTCCTCACGTTCCCAGGGATCTGGAGGAGTACATTGCCAGTGCCTATTCCAGCATTCGACAGGAAGAAGCTAAATCTAATACTCCCCATTCTTATACCACAGTGAGAACTCTACTGAGCATTCTCCGGATATCAGCTGTAAGTCTTATTTTGCATTTTTTCATATGAAATAACCTGTAAATTCTTCCGTATGTTATTATGGTCTTGGTCTTGTCATTGAGTTCCATAGGACTCAAATAGCTAGGATTGGAATATCATTGCTTCCCCACTTTTTTTATGTTCCAATTATGTTGAAATGTTTTTGCCTAAGCAGAAGCTGAACCCTTTTGTACTGCTTAGTTGAGTTGGTACCAAAAAAATTCCAACCATGTAGGTCATTGTAGGTATCCACACATGTAATTATTATTGATGAACTCATGAAAATTTGAACTGAATTCATCCTTCACAGGCTCTAGCAAGGCTTAGATTCTCTGAAACCGTGGCTCAGAGTGACGTTGATGAGGCTCTGAGGTTAATGCAGATGTCAAAATTTTCTTTATACTCAGATGACCGTCAAAAATCTGGTCTAGATGCTATCTCAGATATCTATTCAATCTTGCGTGACGAAGCTGCCAGAAGTAAGAAAATGGATGTGAGCTATGCACACGCACTTAACTGGATTTCTAGGAAGGTCAGTTGCAATTCTTATTCTTTTAGTAGTTGGCATTTGGCAATCCTATATCACGCTCAACACAATTGAACACATTTGATAGACCGAACTATAAGAGGAGATACATCTGACTCTGTTACATTCAAGTGTAAAGTTATAAATTAGAAAACAGCCCTGAAATTTCCAAGACATTGTTTTTTTCTTCCAAGTTCCAAATCATTTAAAGTATGATGACTGTTAGGACCAGGGGAAGGTATCGTTTAGTCTAGAGGGCTCTATGTACGATATTGTACTTCTCTCTTGTTTTCTTTCTTCTTTAAACGAGTGCAAAATTGGAGATGGACCCCTAACTTTAGGAAAGGTAATAAGTGTCTTATCCATTAAACTAGGCTTGGATTTGTTAAATAATGTATTTATCTGTATTCTCGTAATAATGATATTCACTATGGTCCAAATCGAAGTCATACCAAGTTCACTAAAAGCCATAATGAGATTAATTCACGATAACTTTCTTTTGTGAAAGCTGCATCTGACTATGGAAAACTGAAATGGTTCGTGTTGTCAGGGATACAGCGAAGCTCAACTGAAAGAGTGTTTGGAGGAGTATGCAGCCTTGAATGTGTGGCAAATACATCCACACACCTTTGACATTCGGTTTATAGATGCTTGATGTATTATTATTAGGATTGTTGAGTTGGTGACTGTTTAAATTTAGGATAGGTTTGACCGATAACCTTTTAAAATACAGATGAGTAGATGCTCAAAAATCAGGGAGGGTTTACTTTATGTTGTATCCTATAGTGTAGCTGTGGACAATTTGTAAAATTGTATCCTTCTTTTAAGGGTTTATTTATTTTCACCACCACTTTTTTCATATGTTTCTAAATGTGCTTGTGATTTTAATTCTTTTATTTTTAGTTAAAAAAATACTTGTCCCTATTTAGTCCACCTTTTGGTATGTAATCTAATCCTAAACTTTCAAATTTGTTATGATTTAGTTTAACTTTATGCAACAATTTAGCATTGTTGGTACTTGATTTGTAGTGGTCATTATACATGGAAAAAGCTCAACCCTTGTCTTTAGAAGTGAAAAAGCTCACCCCTTGTCAATATAAGAAATGTTACTAATTCCAAGTTAAAGTGACCTCTATACTCTATACTTTATCTTTGGAGATTGGAAAGTTTGTGTTAAGCATCTAATTAGTTTGTTTTGTTTAAGAATTTGATGTTAAAATCTTGTTAATGTTTTATGAGATTTTTTACATCTACATGTGAATGCACTAGGCCAAATGTATTTATAAACTACGAAGCTATATCTTCATATAAAAAATCAATATTTCACCATAGTGAAAATTTTTATACTAAGAACTAAAATTTTTTATAAATTTTAAATTTAAATTACATGAACTAAATTAATTGTTATCCTCTAAAGTCTATTACTAAACTATTAAAAAATTAAAAATACATATCCCAAATTGTTATATATTAAAATTTAAGAATTAAATTGTTACTTTAATAGAAGTATTAAGAACAAAATATTTTTAATCTTCGAATTAAAACCACAGAGGTAATGAATAAAATTCGACCCTTCTTAAATTAAAAATCATATTTTTAAAATTTTTTTTTATAACTATGAATTAGAGCTTTGTTCTCCTATACTCAGGGTTCTCACATTCGCCCCGAGGCCCGAATTTAGGAGACATGAAAAAAAGAATTTAGTATTAAAGGCACTCTAAGAGACTTCTAATCAGTACGACGAAGTGACACCACTAAATTAAAAATCATAGTCGTTAGTACTTTGATTTATGTGATCACCATTTGAAGAGGGGGGAAAATGGGAAAACAGATATTGTATTGGTATCAAAACATTCATATGTCAACGAAAGTTTCACTCCCATCTGATAATTGATAAAACATGATTTGACGTAAATTTTACTTGGTTGTTGCCTCTCCTTTTAGAGTCTATGCACAAATGGTATAATTAACGCAAATTTAGGAAAATGTGGGGAACAAACAAAATTGGGATAATTAATTAAATTGATAAATGAAAATGACAGATATGATTCTGACTATATACAGCCTGCAATGAATGATACAATACAATTACACAAACACACCAGTTTGATGGGCTGAAAAATAAGGTCATTCCACCTTGCAATGGCCGCTCCCTTTGAGGCTACTCTTCAACCATGTCTATTTCACATGTTGTCAAAGGATCGCCGATCAACTTTTTTTAGATCAACAATATGTGGAGGTGAGAATTCGAACATCCGAACTTTTATTTGAAGATATATGTCTTAACTGCACATCACCTGTCAACTTCTTGTAATCAACTCAATGAGCGAGCCTGCATTTCTTTTGCTACTCGTTTCATCCTTCAAGGCACCTGAAAGGTCTTCCCATCAGGAGGGTAGCCATTTGTTTCCATCTCCTACAGCAGTTCATGAACAAGATTCATCCAAACAAACACAGAAAACCGAACGCTGTGATCCAGCACCAAGCAGACAACCAAAGCTCAGCCACGCATTGAAAAGCTGTTTGTTTGCAGGAATTTCTGAAGCAAATTGTATAACTTTCAAGATCCTTCGCTTTTACAACCTCAAAAAGCTCAAGAAGCCTACAACTTCAAGCATAGTATATTGTAAACCTTATCAGATTAAACAATTTCCAGCCTCAATTAGAACTCTTATCCACAGCCACAACTAAACAAACCCTTAAAACTCTAAAAAATCGGGTGTGAGCATAACCCTACCAATTAACACTCAGTCTTCAAAGAGTATTTTCTCTGCCCTTCCGGGACTGTCAAAACAAGCATTTGATAGTAGGGTACCCTGTACCCCAACCACATTATACAAAACTTCAACTCAAAACCCCCAATGGCTTACTTCATCTGTTCTGCAGGTCTGAATTACAACATCAATACTCAGATTTTCATTGACACAACCAATCTTCCCCCACAGTATGGTAGTCTAGTAAGTGGACAATATCATCCTATAGAGAGTTTACTGTTCTACGCCTTGTTCTAAGTGCTGAACTAAAAAAAAAACGCTAAAAAATGTTGGTTTCCCAAAATGCATCAACCGTTTAAAAGCGCATCAAAACCCAATTATGAAACAATTCATGCAAGTAATCACCAGTTATGTCTCGAAATCTAGATCTAAATCACTACTACCGAGATCAGAAGACCCCCTTCTCAACTCCAACCCTTAATTCATGCAAGTAAATCAAGACTCAAAGATGATGAAATTCAAAAAATTAAAACTATCGAGGCGAATTCGATCAGCATTTGTTCTTGAACACCAGAGAATGGAGAGGTGTGTGGCAAAGGAAGTGGAATTTGACGATGAGAACGATGAAAACTACGATTAGGATTAGGGAGAAGCATACGAGACAGGGGCAGAGAGCTACGACTAAGAAGCCACATTTTTCGTCCTCGACTTCGTTCTTGTCGTCCCATCGGTTTTCGCCTCCAACTGACAGTGATAGGCCGGAGTTGGGCGGTGGAGCAGCCGCCATTGGAGATCTTTATTGAGTAGCTCCACTCTGGTTTTCTGTGGATCGGAAAGCAAGATCAAGAAATTCGGAAATCATAAAAAACATTGGAGAGAGAGGCATCGGAATTCCATTGAGCGGCGGTCGGAGGTGGAAATTGGAAGCAGTGGCGGTGGTTGAAGGGGTGAGATGTGGACACTTAACGAGATAGCGGAGAGAGACTTGGATGACCATTGAGGACAGATTGTGAAATTTATAAACGAAATAAATCTTATGCAAAAACAAAAAAACAAAAAAAACAAAAAAACAAACAAACAAAAACAAAACAGACCTTTTGTTTTTTTTTCTTACCCTTTACTTTTTCTTAGTTGATGTGACGTATGAGTGGTGAGGAGGATACGTAGATGAATGAGTACCACATCTTTGATTATCACTACTTATACTAACAAGATGCACCTTTTTTTTTTAAGTGATTCGATCATAAGAACTCAAAAGAGTTAAGCGTACTTGACTTTGAGCAATATTGGGTCGGGTGACCTAAAATGGCTCGTGTTGGTTTGTAGGGATAGTCCTCAATCTTCTAAGTAGCTCATGTAGAGGCGGTGCATAGTGGCGTAGTTATGTCGCAGGGGAATCTGGGGCAATTAGGTGCTAAATCTTAAACTTGGGGCTCTACTTGTTCCGGTAGGTGTTTTGGGACGGGTCATATTAGTTGACTATATTAGGATGATATGACATTTAAGTTGCTATATTGTTGATTTGACAAAATATAATTTTTTTCTTTTTAATTGTGACTAGACTTTTCATCTCCTTATCTCATTTCCCCTGCCTCCTCTCTATCAAATTGTGGTCGCCCTTCGTCCTGCTCCTCTTCAACGACAATTTTTGCCATCGTCAATAAGCCTCTTCAAAAATTAGAGTATAAGAGTTAAATATTATATCATGAAAAAAAAAACACTTTTTATTTTTATTTCTTTTAAGTGCTAAAAGTAGCTAGTTTAACAACTAAACTTATAATTGATTTTAAACCAATTAAACTTATAATTTAATAAAAAATAATATAACGACAACAAATTCATATATATCAAAAATAGGTCAAAATACTATTTTAGTCCTCGTACTTTTAAATTTGGTTTATTTTAGTATTTGTACTTTGATAACGTTTCTTTTAATTCTTATACTTAAAAAAGAGTTCATTCAAGTCCCAGTTGTTAATCCACCGTTAGTGGACTAACGTAGTCATCCACATGCTAAATAACTATGTTATATGAAATCTCCATATTTTAGGTTAAAAAGCTAGTTAATATAAATTCTCCATCACTTATTCCATCATATATCTCGATGCTCACCAATGTAGCAAAAAGATAAAATTAAAATACAAAATGATAATATTAAGATACGGGTGAATAAAAGGTTCCAAAAAATTGATCAGACCGGTCAAAACAAACTGAACCGATGTCGGCCGATCTATTTGATAAATAGATTGATCGGAATTGATTTTTCAAAAATAAAAACTGACTCCTCGGTCGGTTTGGTCGGACGAAATCGACCGAATGTGTTAAATATTATATAAAAAAACAATTAAAAACATTAAATACTCTGCACCTTGGGAAAACCAGCATATTATGGACCAAAAATTTGAAAGCAAAAAAACAAATATGGCCCATTTAAAGGGAGAAAAGGCCTAGTCCATTGGATTAGATATACCGGACACGACAAAAGCCCATTTAGAATTAAAGCAAAGCCCACAACGAGAATAATGGAGATTAAGGGAAAAATAAAAAATAAAAAGAATATATAATATAATATAAATCAATCAAGAGAAACTCCGTAGAGGTAATCTCGGGTTCCCGGATTTCCCGCCAAACAACGGCTCCGTGCCCGTTTCTCCACATTTTCCCGGTAATTTTCTCGGCCATTTTCCCGCCACCCACTTTCTCACTCTATAATCCAAGCCGCCGCTCCGTCTTCTGCAATTTCCCTTTCGCCATTTCTCTCTCTCTCTCTCTCCCTTTCATCGCGAGGAGAGTCATCGGCGGAGCAGATGTCATCGTCTCGTCGGCCCAGCAATGGCCGATCGCCATTGG